GAATTCACAAATAACATTTCCACATTATTTTTGCTCAGAACAACTTAATCACATATATCTGCATACAAAATGATATTATTAAATTTATATTAAGGACTTGTATCCTCAACAATTGACTATCCTAGACCATAAATTCAAACATACCATGTGACTGTCACTTGAAAGGAAAGAAAAAAGCTCATAAACCAAAATGTTTAAGGAAAGAAAAAAAGCTCATAAACTACATGAAACTTCCCAGGAAAACAGTGAGAAACTATCAGAGAAACTCAGGGAAACCTGGGATGACTCGATAGTCAAAGTAAGCTTGATGTCCCAAATTCAACTCCCAGTCCCACCCACAAGCACGAAATCTGCCCCTAATGGCTCTATTGTCTAGAACCCCTGTGCCATCTCCAAAACATGGCCAGGTACGTGCAAGCACACATACAGCTAATGTGTGTAATCCCCAAACTGAACACGTGCAAGCACTGTAGCCGGTACTGCAACGCCCAGAGAGCACAGGTGTAAGTCCAGGAACTGCCAGGAACACTACAGCATCAATCAGAATGGATGCTCACCACTAAAGGAGTTTGTATTCCACAAAGTACTTTATGTGTGGCCCCTGGCAAACAAAAAACTACATGAGTAACCCCTGGCAACCACCGCAACCAAGTAAATAAGCACCACAACCAAGAGAATGCATCCCCAGTGATCTTAACAACAAAGACAAGGGTAATTCCAAAATCCTTATCTCTTAGAAAAAATGTGGAATTTTATTTTAAAATTAAAGATTATCCATTTCTAATTTCCAGATATGCTACAATATATTTATATAATTCCTGTTCAGATAACATGAGCTAAGAAACAAAGAATAAATCATCCAAGACCACAGTAGCTGTCCTACCCATAAAAGTTTATGTAATAATTATAAAATCTCAAAATATCTGTCACTGTCACTGTCCTCCCATTGTCCATCAATTTGCTCGAGCGGGCCCAGTAACGTCTCCATTGTGAGACTTCTGTTACTGTGTTTGGCATATCGAATATGTCACGGGGAGCTTGCCAGGCTTTGCCATACAGGCGAGATACTCTCGGTAGCTTGCCGGGCTCTCCGAGAGGGGCGGAGGTATCGAACTCGGGTCGGCCATGTTGGCGGCTTGCAAGGTAAACGCCCCAGCCACTGTGCTATCGCTCCAGCCAGTCAAAATATCAGGACGCAGAAATAACAAACTTTTAAGCACTTAGCACCAAATTAAAGACAAAAACCAAAATAGTATAGCCCCCTCCCACTTTCCCCCCAAGTAAAGGCTCTCCACTTTCAACCTAACAGTACTTCTTTCATCACTATTTATTTGGTGTACTTCCCCACACAGGTATATATCTCTAAACCAGTTAATTATCAATAAGTTACAATTTTCCCCTCCAAAGTTACTTGGCAACATCTGGAAGTTGTAATTTTAACTTCTGGTAGAGATCAGGGATGAGACCTATAATGCAGAGGACTGTCCTCTGTAACAAACAGAAAGAATTATCAATGAATTCATATGGCAACAACATCCAATCTGGGAAATCTTACCCTAAACAATAAAAACACTACTGTTCTTGCACTTTAACACACAGTAGATTCCTTTAATGAGAAACTATTTTCTTACTCTGCTTAACATTTTCTCTGCTATGTAGAAATTCACTAAATAAATTTACACAGTTCATTATCCTACTGATACAAATTTAAGATTCTTTCCCACATTTTTGCTTTACACTCAATACTGCTGTGAACATTCTTATACAAGCCTCTCAATGCTCAATGATTCTAAGGAACCGTTTCAAAATGTGGTTTTCGAAAAGAATCTTCAAGATTCAAACAGTAAAGACTTATCTTCTTAGTAATACCAAGATATCTGCCTTTTTCACACTGATGCTGCACTGACAGTGTAAAGAAATCGCAAGCGAAACTACCAGTAAGTTTAGTCAAGTTAGTATCCTTCAATAACAAGTTATAATGGTAGCATATAGCTTCTCCTATGGTGTACTAAGAAGGCCAAATATGGGGCCAGAAAGACAGAACACCAAATACGGCACCTGCACCCGCCCTGGCCTGGATTCAAGCCCCAGCACCGCATATGATCTATCAAGCCCCACCAGAAGTGATTCCTGAACACAGAGCAAGGAACAAATCCTCAGCACTGTTGGGTGTGGCCCAAAATTCAAGGGGGTTGGGGGGAACCACATTATTACTACCATGTTATCCTTACCCAGAGTACATAAACTATTTTGGGGGGGGGGGTCACACATGGCAATGCTCCTGGTTCTGCACTCAGGAATTACTCGTGGGGCACGGGTGGACCACATAGGATGCTGGGGATCAAACCCAGGTGGGCTGCGTACAAGGCAAACGCCCTACCCTATGCTATGACTCCAGCCCCAAGAGTACATAAACTAAAGTTAATCAAGAAGCAATATCAGAGAGCTGAAAGCAATAGTACGTACAGCAGGTAGAGCACTTGCTTTGCACAGTCAACCCGCATTTTCCAGAACCCCATATGGTTCCCCAAGTCCCACCAGGATATTATAGTCCTAAAACTAAACCAGAACTTTCAATTTGTTCAGTTCTTCTTAAAAAAATAAAAAAGGGAAGGGGGAAAACAACAGGAAGGGGCAGGGGAGAAACCTGAATATCATATGTAGACTAGCTATCTCTAAACATGATGGAGATTTTATTTTTAAGCCACAGTGAGTATTACTCATGACTTACTCCTGGTAGCGCCCAGGTACTCCACACAAAGCAAGCAAGACGAGACATGCAAGGTGAGCACTCTATCCAACTCATACTTAAACATGGTTTTTAAGTTTTTGCTAAAACAATCAGATGAGAGACAGGACAGCAGCTAAGGCAATTGCCTTGCACAAAGTAAATCCAGGATGGATACCTAGCACCCCATATGATCTCCAGAGACCACCAGGAGTGAACTTTGAGCACAGTGGGTATGGCCCAAAAAACAAAAGAGGAAAAAAAAGGATTCAGATGAACAAACTGAAAGGCTACACAAAATAATTTGATGTGTAAATCTTATTAAGTTAAACAACATTTAAGACATTTAATTCTAAACACTTTTACATAAGATAATGAAATTCTGACAAAAAATATGCTACAAAACATAGACACCACTAAAGTACCTTCAAAAACCACTGGAGTGCAGGATGTTACATTTTATCTTTGCCCTGGGAGGAATTTTATACTGTCCCATAAACCTACAATTACTGATTCCAAAATGCCTCCAAAATTGACTTGTGGTCAAACTTCAGCTTGGGTCAGCATGATAAATCTTAAGGATGTGCAGAAGCAGGTATATGCTTCATACATTATTGCAGATAGTATAAACTGCTAAAATGCCTTAGAAGGGCGATTAGTCAACATCTACGAAAATGTTAAGTATGTTTAATATTTAATGCAGTAATTCCACTTCATAAGTACACAGCACATATACATGATACATGTACAAGGATTTATTCACTACATAATTGCAAAGAAGACCTGAAACAACATAAATACCCATTGATAAAGTACTGGTTAAATAAATCACTGTGCATATTCGATATGTCAAACACAGTAACAACAAAGTCTCACAATGGAGACATTACTGGGCCCGCTCAAGAAAATTGATGAATGGGACCCCGACAGTGACAGTGACTCAAATATGCAGCTATGAAAAAAAGGTAGCTCTGTTGAAACGATCATCAATATTCACTATTAAGTGAAAGAAACGAAGTGCAGAAGAGAATATAGCTTATTGCTGTTTGTGCTCTGAAAGAGTAAGCAGATTTACACTGTTCTAGCTACACACACACACACACACACACACACATGCTTACAATGATCTGAATACATGAGAAAGTGGTGGCTGCCCAGTCTCCTTCTGAATCTATTCTTTCAGTCCTGAGCATGTATATATCCCTTTCACCGTTTAAAAAGTCATCTAAGAAACAAAATTTTATGCAATCTCTTCAAAGACTGAGTTCAGCTGCATTAATTTCCTTTTTACTACTGCTAGCAGTAACCATGAACTCACTTCAAATGTATTAAACTGTCAAACTCATTCATAAAATCTTAGAATAACCTTATTTATGCCTTCCTTAAAGTATCAAACCATAAATCTGAACTGTCACTAAATCTTGCAAGAAGAGAAATCTCTGTAAAATACGTTTAAAGACGACCTTTATTTGGGGACAGCAAATCATCCGTTTTATGTATTATATGAAAATTCGAAAGTCGGTAACAATGCTGAAATTCTGTGAATCAGACACACTGACTCACTGCTCCCGATGGGTATCTCATGTAACCTTACATGTGAGATGAAATGTTCACAACAACAAAAGCAGGTGAACTCCATGCCAATCTTCCACTTGTGGGGGGAAAAAAAGTAACGGCAAAAAAAATGAACAGCTTAGATGGTTTTTCCCTTTAGTGGGTGTGAAAATATGAAATCAAACAATTTCGACGGAAAATCCTTTCCCAGGTTCCAACAGCATTCGGGTCGGCGTCAGCAGAGCCCCTTCACTCGACCCCACCACCACCAAAAAAAAAAAAAAAAAAAACCACCCAAAAGATTTCAACAAACGTGAGCTACCCGTCTCCAATTGTAACCGGTCAACTAAACACCATATGGCTAGGCGAGCCTCCTCCATCCGGAGCTATCCCCGGATGGGGTAACTGATTTCACGGCTCATTGCACAGACCTCTCCAGACGCCTTCCCGGGAGGGGCAGGGGGAGGAGGGGAACTGTCTGTTGTCTTCTTGGGGCTTTGTGCCTCCCAGGCTTGAAAGCATCACGGCTGCGGCCTTTGAAATCATGGCTCTGAGGGGGAAGAGGGGAGCCAGGGGTTCTAGCCTACAAGTTTGGGTTCACCGGATCCTGCACCTAAAACTCCCTGCAGCCCGACCCCCGCGACCCACCGCCCAACCGTCCGGGCCGCGCCCTCCCGCCGCGCGCAGGCGCGGGGCCAGGTGGCCGCGGTGGCCTTACCGGTGGGCGCGCTGTCCAGGATGCGCAGGTCGTAGGCCCCGGAGCAGCGGTAGTTGGCGGCCGTGCCGTTGTCCCACACCACCACCACCTCCTCGAGGCTCTCGAAGCTCCGCACCGTGCCCACATGGCCCTCGCCGCCGTCCTGCTTGCCCCACTTCCAATCCGGGCCGCGCACTACCCGGGCCCCGACCCCTTCCACCATCACCCGGTTATTCCGGGAGTTACTCATCGGGGCCCGGGCGGGGGGTTCCGCCGCCGCCGCCGCCGCTGCCGCCGCCGGGGGGCCCGGGAGGGCGTTGGGCCCCGTCCGGACTCTCGGCGCCGGCGGGGGCGGCAGCGAGCCCCGGGGGACGTGGGAGTAACTCACGGGGCCGGCGGCGCGCTCCGCGCCCAGCGCCCCGCCGCTGCCCAGCCGCCGCCGCCGCCGGCGCGCCCCCTGCTCGGGCGGGAGGCCGGGCCGCGGGGGCTCCGGGGCGGCGGCGGGCGGGCAGAGCGGAGGGGGCCGTGGGCGGGGACTCCCCCGCTTCCTCCGGGCTCCGCGGCCAGGCTACAGCGACGGCCGCCAGGAAACCACGCTCTCCCCCGGCCGGGAGCGCGGGGGACGCCGGGGGCCGGGGGAGGGTAGCCCGGCGGGGGCGGCGGGGAGCAAGCTAAACTGCCGGCCTTTCTTCTCCCCCGACCCGGGGGCGGGCGCCGCCTCCTCCCCCGGGGGCGCCTGCGGTACCTCCCGGCGTCCGGCGAGCGCCCGGGCCCACGGGCCCCCTTCTCTCTGCCCCCGCGCACGCCGCCGCGCTCCGCCCTGCCACAGAGTCCCCGCCGGCCGCGAGCGGCTCCACATCCGGGTCCCGACGCACCCAGGCCCGAGCAGCGCCTTCCGGGAGCGCCGGTGCGGGGCCCAGCGGCCACACTAGGGTGCTCAGGGCTTTGGAGAGTGGCGCGACTGGGGGAAGAAAGAAGAAAATCGACCCCCAAGCGTCTCTCCGGGGCGCGCTCTGCGCATGCTCGCGGCCAGGACCCCGGGGGCGGGGAGACGGGGGCGGGGCCGACGCCCGGCCTCAGGCGGGCGCCAGGGGGCGGGCCCTCGCGTAGAGCGGCGCGCACCATTGGCTGTTAAGAAAGGGGCGGGGCAAGAGAGCGTGTAGAACTAGGAGGCGGAGCCGGAGAAATTAGCCCAGAGGCCGGACCGTGGACGCTGGAACTGGGCGCCTACGGAGCGCACTTTGGTTAAGTTCTAGTACCTAGGTGTACTAAGTGTGAATTTTAGTCTTGTTTGTTTGAGGGCCCTCACCCGGCGGCGCTCAGGGATCAATGCTGGGTACTCAGGTACTCAATAATTGTAAAGCGCAGCAGGTAGAGTTTGCCTCGCTTGGGTTCTCTTCCCAGGACCCCAAATGGTTTCCCTGGTGACCCCTGAGTGTAGACCCAGGAGTGAGCCCTGAGCACTCCAGGTGTGCCCACCCCTTCCCCCAAAATTTTTTTAGGAAAATACTGTGTGAAGTACAAAAGCCCACATGGATCTAATTTTAAAGACTATTTAAATAGATGGACTGGAGTGATGACAGTACAGCGGTAGGGCATTTGCTTTGCATGACCCGGTTCAATTCCTCTGCCCGTCTCGGAGAGCCTGAAAACTAATAAAAGTATCTCTTCTGCACCGCAAAGCCTGGCAAGCTACCCGTGAGGTATTCAATATGCCAAACGCAGTAACAAGTCTCACAATGTTACTGGGCCCACTCAAGCAAATCAATGAACAACAACGGGAGGACAGTGACAATGATTTAAATAGATGGGAGTAGGGCAGGGACCCTTGTCCTTGCGTTTATGGTCTTGGAGTTCACTTCAGTCTTGGGAATGTATTTTGAACTATAAGCACTGGGCTACCTTCTCTCACCACTCCCTCCTCCCTCTTGTTTTGTGGCTACATTTGACGGTGCTCAGCACTTACTCCTGGCTCTGCACTCAGGGATCCCTCCTGGTGGTGCTCAGGGATTACACCTGTGTTGGCCTACATGCAAGGCAAGTGTGTCCCCTTCCCACCTCCCCCACTGGACTATTGCTCTGGCCCCCTTGTGTTAACTTCTTGAATGAACAAATGCTGCATGAGCGCCAATTACAAGGCCCTGGTTGAAAGACAAGGGAAATGTCCTGATGTCCCCAGAAATAGCAGTTATAGATCGTCTTGGTGGGGAGCTCCGGAAGACCTGGGTGTTTTCAGTAAGGTCAGAACTTTGTGGGCCCCTAGCAGATGGCAGAGTGCAGAGCCTCCAGAACTGGAGGACACGCTGAGGGGGAGAATGGGGAGGAGGGGAAAAAGGGGGAGGTGCAGTGGAGCAGAAAGGGAAGGAGGAGGAGAGCAGCTGATCTGAAGGGGCTGCATGGCAAATCAGGTTTTGTTTTTTTTTTGCTTTTTGGGTCACACCCGGCGATGCACAGGGGTTACTCCTGGCTCATGCACTCAGGAATTACTCCTGCGGTGCTTGGGGGCCCATATGGGATGCTGGGAATTGAACCTGGGTCGGCCGCATGCAAGGCAAACACCTTACCGGCTATGCTGTTGCTCCAGCCCCAATGCACAGGGTTTACTCCAGGTTCTACATTCAGGAATTACTCCTGGCAGTGCTCAGGGGACCATATGGGATGCTGGGAAACTAATCCCAGTCAGCCCCATGCAAGGCAAATGCCCTACCCACTGTACTCTCATGCCAGTCCCGAAGGTCAGTTTTGTGCTCACTTCTTCCCCCCCTTGGTTTTTGGGTCACAGTTGTTAGTGCTCAGCTCTTACTCCTGGCTTTCTGGGCACGGAGGTCCTTCCAGGGAGGCAGGAAAAGTGGCTTCCTCCAGGAGAATTGCTGAAAGCCCAATTGACAGAGATCGAGAAGAAAGCATGGAGGCTGTCTGCAGGGTTCAAGACAGCAATGGGCAGGGAGAGCCAGGAAAGGTCAGAGATGGTCCACAATGGTCCATTCACGTTAGTGGTGGCATACGTTAGTGATGGCACCTTCTCTAGAAGGCGCTCCTTAAAGCCTTTCTCTTCCCACCCCTTTCCGAGTCACCAGTGTCTCTTCCAGTGCAGTTCACACGTGTGTTCGCCCTTGAACAGGTATCTGTGCAAGTCACATATGTACGGCCCATGCACAGGAGAGCATGTCTTCCAGCAACAGCAAGAAGCCTTCATTGGAGCCCTTCTCATCAGTCTTCTCTGTCCTCCCCTGTTCTGCCGATTGCCCCCTTAGTCTTGAGCTGGAACCCAATTTATGTGATTGACATCTGATAGCACAGCTGGTAGGGCATTTGCCTTGCACGTGGCAGACCCAGGTTTGATTCCTCCGTCCCTCTCAGAGAGCCGGGCAAGCTACCGAGTGTATCCCGCCCACACGGCAAAGCCTGGCAAGCTACCCGTAACTGTATTCGATATGCCATAAACAGTAACAACAAGTCTCACAATGGAGACGTTACTGGTGCCTGCTCGAGTAAATTGATGAACAACGGGAGGACAGTGCTATAGTGCATTTAAATAAGAGATTCTAAAGAATTTATGGGGTTGAAGGGGTAGTATACAGAGGGTAGTACAGAGGTAGCAGGCTCGGGGATACTGTGGGGTTCCAGGGATGCAACTCAGGTCAGCTGGGTTCAAGGCAAGCGCCCTACCTGCTGTATTATTGCTCCAAACCCTCTAGTCTTAGTAGTCTTATTTGTGTGTGTGTGTGTGTGTGTGTTTTGTTTGTTTGTTTTGTTTGAGGATGCTCAGCCCCAATCCGAGCAGGCTTGGAGATCTCAGCCTGCTTGGATTGGGGCTGAGCATCCTCCACCCAGATCCTCCATATTCCAGTAGGCAGGGGTCACACCCACCAACTGGCCTTCTGGCACCGTGTAATCCCATCAACGGCCAAGACCCAGAGACTATAAAACCCAGCTCCCAGAAGCGCGTGGCCGCATTTGTGGCTGCGCAACATCTTATCTCATTCTTACTTTGGACAAACTGGCAGGCTACCAAATGTAACCTGCCCACACGGCAGAGTCTGGCAAACTCCCCGTGGTGTACCCAATATGCCAAATACCAGTAACAATGATGGGTCTCATTCTCCTAACCTTGAAAGAGTCTTTAATATGGCACTTTTTAAAAAGTCTCAGGGCTAGGATGAAGGAAACTTTACTGGGGCCTGCTCGAGGCAATCAACGAACAACAGGATGGTCGTGATAGTGATCATTTGAGGAGGTGGTTGGGGGGGGGCGGGACCATAGCCAGCAATGCTCAGGGATTACTCCTGGCTCTCCACTCGGGAATCACTTCTGGCAGTGCTGGGGGTGGAGGGGGCCATATAGGATTCTAGGAATCAAACCTGGGTAGGCCATGTGCAAGGCAAATGCCATACATGCTGTACTCCAGCCCCTAGTCTTCCTTTTTAACACAGTCTGAAGTAGGACACATTAGGGGAACTGACTAAGGATGACCTGTATTTTTATGTGTGTAAACTGAAAACACTTCGAACCAGAGTGTGTGATTCATAATGTGTTTCTTAGCTGTAAAAGATGGTACTGAATGATGTGAGCAAAAGGTCACATCTTACCGTTGAAAGGTATGTTTTACCTTCCTGCGGAGTGGGGTTTGTGAGTAAACTCCAATCCGTGCCCAAGCTCCTGGGAAAGAGTTTACAAGCCCTTGTCCTTTGATAAATGCTTCCCACTCCACAATGTAATTTAGCCACCAGTTGCAAAAGACAACCATGAAAGGGAAATAAGAGGAGTAAGAGTGGTTTCTGGCCGCTTTTACATGATATTTAGACATGTAGGATTTAAAACCATTATTTCACAATTCAGCAGATTGCATTCTAATAATAGGCTTGTTTTTCCCAATAGTCAAAGGAGCAAAACATATTCCAGATCAAATAATCAAGTGGGAAAACTAACATTACCTGGGGCCAGAGAGATAGTACCCCGGGTAGGGGTAGGGCACTTGCCTTGTACACAGCCGATCCGGTGTTGGATCTCCCACATCCCCCAAGCACTGCAAGGCATAACCCCAGAGCAATGCTGGCTGTGGTCCCCAAAGCAATGAATAATTATGTGTGAACTGAAGCACAGCAGGTAGAGTTCTTGCCTTACTTGGGGCAACTTGGGTTCTCTCCCCCGGCCCCCAAATGGTTTCTGGGGTGACCCCTGAGTGTAGAGTCAGAAGTGAACCCTGAGCACTTCAGTGTACCCACCCCACCCCCAAAAAAAAAGTTATTAATTTTTAGGAAAATACTGTGTGAAGTCTGAAAGTCCACATAGTTCTAATTTTAAATATTATTTAAATCGAGTTCTTAAAGAATTTGTGGGATGGGACCAGAGAGGTAGTACAGAGATTAAGACCTTGCATGAAACCAACCCTGGTTAGATCCTGGACACCAGATATGGTATCTCTTGATCACTGCAGGAGATCCCTGAACACAAAGTCAGGAGTAAACCTGAGTAGCACTATAGTACCGTAGCACTGTTCTCCTGTTATTCATCGATTTGCTCAAGCGGGCCCAGTAATGTCTCCATTGTGAGACTTGTTGTTACTGTGTTTGGCATATTGAATACGTCATGGATCGCAAAAAATAAGAATGAAAGAAAGAAAGCATTTGCTCAAAATAGGCTAGTCAAATTTCTAGTTTGTATTTCAAAATTTTTTCACAGTGGAAGTTTGTGGCTTGGTAACGACTCCCAGTGATACTCAGAGTATCATGAGGGTGACAGAGAGCCAACCCAGGCCTCAACTCTGAAAATTTTAAATGTGTTATTGCCAAAGCTATCCAAGTCCAAATACTGAATGAAAGGTACTATTAAGTCATCCTGTTTCACCACCTTTTCCATCTCTGGAACCTTTTCTAATTTCCATCTTTTCTTAATGTTAAACTAAACAAGTGGTTTGATAGATTGACAAACAGATTTTAGAATAGCCATTGCATAATTATATGTGTGCCGAACTGACAAAGTAAGCTTACACAAGCAAAGACCACCTGA